CTCCCCCTCAGGAAAAAGAAGACTGAATGGGGTGTTGAATCCAAGTATACGAGAGGGCACCCTGTTAATCAGATACACTGCTATGAGAACTGCATCACCCCAAAACCGAACTGGAACTGTAGATGTGCTCATCATGCTTCTTGCAATCTCAACAATGTGTCTGTTCTTCCTTTCTGCAACACCATTCTGCTATGGACTGTAGGGACAACTGCTCTGATGGACAACAACATATTCTAATAGATATGAAGCAAGGTGTTTTTCAAAATATTCCCTGGCATTGTCTGATCTGAATACCTTTATTCTTGTTCCAAACTGTATTAGCACCATTTGATGAAATTGCCTCACCAAGGATGGTACTTCATCGCAGGATCTCATCAGGTAAACCCAAGAGTATCGTGAGAAATCATCCACAAATAAGAGAAAATATCGATAGCCTCCCATAGAAGGAACGTGGTAAGGTCCCCACACATCCGAATGAATAACATCAAAAGAAGAAGAACACCTTTTATTACTAGGTTTTAATGAATGTTTACAATGCTTTCCAAGTTGACAACCTTCACACTCCAGACTTGACAAACTAACAGATCAAAAAGTTTTGGAAACAAAAGAATCAAAGAAGAAAAAGGTAAATGGCCCAGACGATTATGCCAAAGCATAATTTGACCCACAGACTCTGACTCACTATCCCTGCTGACATGATGACTCTGATGAGGAGGAAGAACATCTAGGAGGTAGATCCCATTCACTTTACGACTACTCCCAATCGTCCTCTTTGAATCCAGATCCTGCAAAATACAATGAGTAGGAGAAAAAATTACTGAGCAGTTCAGGTTCTTAATCAAACTACTAACAGATAACAAATTASTRCTCAATCTAGGAACATGAAGGACTGAGGGTAGAGAAATAGAATCACTAATCTTGACAGATCCCTTCCCAGCAATAGGAACATGGGATCCATCAGTTGTGGAGACGCTATCTCTGCTAGAACAGAGCTGGTAAGAAGAAAAAATAATAGAGCTATGGGTCATGTGCTCTGAGGCTCCAGAGTCTATAATCCAAGGAGGTCCCTCCTTACCTGAAGTAGAAACATAATTTGTAGTGACGTGTGAACTACCTGTGTGAGCAAAGGCAGTAGAGTGGACTCCACCAGTGCCACCTGTACCTTGTTGTCCGCTTGCTGCTGAACTAAAACTGGCTGTATCCCGCAGGTTCAAAAGTTGCCCATACCTCTGAAGTTCGGCCCTTACTGCAGCAGCTGCAACAGACTCCAGAGCAGCTGTAGTAGGAGGGGCCGGAATGTCACCAGTAACTTCCATGTGTGCATTTCCCTTCTTATTTTTCAGTCTAGTCGGCACAAGATGTGGGTGAAGCTTCCAGCAAGTATC